TTAATTCCCTTATTTTATTTATTTTTTTTTTAATTATATGGAACATGTTATAAACTGATAAATTTAGCCTTTCCCTCATTCACGAACCATTAATTATAGTATCGGTTAAGTGATAACTGAACATTATGGAGAAATGAATACACATAGGATACTTGTTTGTATGAGTCCAAGTCCATTAAAAAAATCTCTGCCAATCGGCTATCCTTTCTCTGATACTTTCACCTTTCAAAACCCTATCAAATATGACAAATTATCATTGTCAAACTGTAATCAAAATTATGCTACAAAATATTATTGTCAAACCAATATTGGCCCTATATTGAGCCTATTTTAAACCTCAATTGAATTTCAAAATCGTAAAAAATCGTTTGATAAAATGTATGACATTCGAAGATTTTAACTTTGTCCTTGTTTTTCAAAAAGACGAAACACACGTTTAGGATATAGAAATATATTCAAGAGACGTTCCATGTGACAGAGAAAATTGATAATAATTCCCTGTTAGTTACAATGCGACATATGTGCGGGAATTGGGAAAAGGAAGAAAAAAAAAATTATAAACCCAAATGTCTTTACTGCGAAATGCGACTGCAATGCGGAATATATAGAAGTGAAGAGAACGCCATAAATCAACGTATTTTCGTATCACGGAAGTAGTCTACTATATTTATAAAGACGAACTTATATACGCCCAGTCGCCGAAAACAAGTATCCTCATACGTAAGCCTTTCAAAACTATCTTCAAACCACATGGGCAATGCAGGTCATCCAAACAAGCAAATATATATTGAAAACAATGCTGCGATTATTGCATTTTCACATATATACACATGTATATATAAATCATTTGAAACAAACAATTCCCGTTGTTGGTGGTCCGCTGTTAATATACCAGGGGCAATAATTTTTAAACAAACATAAAATATCAAAAATAAAATTTTAGGTTTAATTTTAATCGATAAGGTACACCACTCTAAATGCTTATTATATTTAACGTTGATTAACTCCCTTGATTAATCAGTTTTTTTGGTATTTAAAATTTTTTTCAGAATTTTTATTTTATATTGTTTAGTTATGATCGAAAATTACAGAATGTTATATGATTTGTTAATGAGCAATTAATAAGAGAGGAACTCTTGAGAGAATTTGACAGAAAGCCAAGAAAGGAAAGTCTGAGATGCTGTATATGACTAACTGAGAAGCACAGTCTTATCATTTATATATGAGAGTCACATTAGCAGTCAACATTCATCTGGCTAGACCTTTCAAATAAAAGAAAAAGGAACACCTAAACTCTAAATTCAGTCCTATACGATATAGAGAAAATAAGGTTAGAATATTTATTTTCTTCTTTTTCATAAGGTGGTAATATACGTTCAGACAGAATACAAGTTTTCAATGTAATATAAAGCGAACATTGCATAGACTACTTTTTCTAACAAAATGACATATATATCAGAGCTGCCTATAGGATAAAATCTCGCGTTTTATTTTAAATTATTATACGTCTGAGAGAAGACGAATATTATATCAGTTTATTAGAAGTACTTTTAGGAATTTTGTACTGAGTGGGCATTTCGAAGAAAAATTTTAGAAGCATCTTAAACCGTATTCCCGGATCAACGGAAGCGTTCCAAGTAGATGTGATTAGACTTCTACTTGAATATTTTGTGCTATATTGAGCACTTAACATTGTGCTAATCACTCGAAAGATAAAAAAAAGGGATAAACTTCCTCAAGTAAAGAAAAGCATTCCTACTAAAATAAAACTTCTGACAGAAAAAATAATACATAAATATTTGCGCATACCGTGATTTAATTTCGCGCATTCCGTGATTTAATTTTGCGAAAACCGTCAACTAGTTTCACGCAATCCGTTATTCAATTCCGCGAAATCCGTGATCTAGTTTCTCACAATCCGTGACCCAATTTCGCAGAATCCGCGAAATCCGTGATCTATAGTTTCTCACAATCCGTGACCCAATTTCGCAGAATCCGCGAAATCCGTGATCTAGTTTCTCATAATCCGTGACCCAATTTCGCGGAATCCGCGAAAATAGTGATCTAGTTTCGCGCAATCGGTGATTCAAATCCGCGAAAATAGTTATCTAGTTTCGCGCAATCGGTGATTCAAATCCGCGAAAATAGTTATCTAGTTTCGCGCAATCGGTGATTCAAATCCGCGAAAATCGTGATTTTATTTCGCGGAATCCGTTATCCAATTTCACAAAAATTGTGACCCAAATTCGCGGAATCCACGACCTAGTTTCGCGAAAATTGTGACCTAATTTCACGCAATCCGTGATTCAACTCCGCGTAAATCGTAATCTTGTTTCTCACAATCCGTGATTTAAATCCTCAAAAATCGTGATCTTGTTTTGCAGAATCCGTGATCTAATTTCGCAAAAATTGTGACCTAGTTTCGCGGAATCCATGATCTCATTTTGTGAATACCGTGACCAAGTTTCACGCAATCCGTGATTCAACTCCGCGTAAATCGTGATCTTGTTTCGCGGAATCCGTGATTTAAATCCGCGAAAATTATGATCTTGTCTCGAGGAATCCGTGATCTAATTTCGAAAAATTGTGACCTAGTTACGCGGAATCCATGATCTAAATTTGTGATAACCATGACCTAGTTTCACGCAATCCGTGAACCAATTTCGTCAAATCCGCGACCTAGTTTCGCAAAAAAATGTGATCTAGTTTGGCGCAATCCTTGATTCAACTCCGCGTAAATCGTGATCTTGTTTCGCGGAATCCGTGATTTAAATCCGCGAAAATCGTGATCTTGTTTCGCGGAATCCGTGATCTAATTTCACAAAAATTGTGACCTAGTTTCGCGGAATCTATGATCTAATTTTGTGAATACCGTGACCTAGTTTTACGCAATCCGTGAACCGATTTCGCAAAATCTGCGACCTAGTTTTGCAAAAAAAAATTGTGATTTTGTTTCGCGCAATCCGTGATTCAATTCCGCGTAAATCGTGATCTTGTTTCGCGGAATCCGTGATCTAATTTCGCAGAATGTGTGATCCAATTTTGCGAATTTAGATTACGGATTTAGCAAAATTAGATCACTGATTCCGTTAGAGTGTATGTAATGCATAGTAATTATATTAAGCCTAATTTGGCCTAAATTGAGCATACTACATTTGGCTTGCTTTGTATCGACATTGAGCTTTCATTTAGCTTAAATTAAACATACTTTGTACAATCTAGGCTTCCTTTGCACACTTAATCGTGCAATTTACATCATTGCTGAAAGGTGTGCCATTTCAAGCCACGTGCGTACATCTTTTTAACTGCACGAAACATCTTTTTTCCGGTCATATATCATCAATCACAATCATTTGGTGGCTTAATTTTTGTGTAGGAAGGAAATTAATATGGGTTGGCCGAACCATTATTTGCCGCCGTCGTATATATATATATCGATATAATCAACGATCGATTCAGCTTCATGCTCCTTGCAATATATATATATGTATATGTGTAGTAACCATCATTGTATTATTAGACGATTGCAAGAGTCGATTCTCCCTTTAACGATTAATTATATACCCCATCGAAAATCGATCGTTATCAATATCTTTCTTTTTTTTACCTCTTTTTATATAAGATAAATGGTCCCAGGAAATTGGAATTTAAAACATTGCGCTCAATATTTTAACTTGAATTGTTTATAATTTCAAGTTTCACAATAAAACACGGAGTAAAAGAGATCTGGGATAAGTCAAAGACTTGTATAAGTCAGTTAATAGGAAATTGTAAAAATTTTACGTTAATGAATGTATCTGTGTTTCTGTTTTACAGATACTCATGTATTTTGTATTTATGGTACAATAAATAAAGAAAAGTTCAATGAACAGTTGGGTGACCTTATAGCTTTAGTTCAAGTCGATACAAAAACCGGATTAATTACGGGCATATTTTATGCAATCATGTGTGTGGTATTAACGACTGTTATGTGATTTTGCCGCTATTTGTAAATAGAGAATAATGCCAAGATGTCTATGATATTTACAATTTAACTATGACTAAACTATTTTTATTTATATTTACGGATTTCAGATTTATTAAACCTTTTTTTGGAGTATCAATTTTTCGAAAATTTTTTTTGGTAGATTTTTATGTTATGTAAAATATTGAAACATCCTTCACGTTATGATGACAGGGACTTAATATAATGTTTCAAAACCAATAATTTTCCAAGTAGTTTACAATTGCGTGTGTACCATATAGTAAATATTATCCAACATGCAAAGAATACACGATCCCATTGAATGAGACCACCAGGAGAGACACGTGTCTTGTGTCCATACACGAAAGAACAAGTGCAGAATTCTTTAAGCATCTTTTTTTAAAAAATTTTTTTTTCTTTCCTTTCATAAGCATTAAGTGAAAGCTTCCAGGCAATAAAATGAGGGTCGTTTGTAGAACGCGAATTCCGAGTATTTGTATAAAAGTGAAATGAACTTCGATTTAGGAAGAAAATTTCATAATTAATCATTTTCTTTATAGGAAATATTGAAAATAGAGAATGGCCCAGGGCAACTAAAAAAAATTGAGATTTTAATTTTGCGTATTACTAAAATTGATATAATCAATTCTCTTAGAACGTAATAGCCGTTAAGAAATTTAAGTTATTTTTCACACAGGCCTTTTATAATAAAAAACCTATGTTAGAAAATAATGACAAGGATAACGAGTTATCGGTTTTATGATCACAATTTCATTCATTTGTTAATAGAAATATTTTATGACTACAGCAGACGTTCTCATATTATTCAAGTGTTTCGCAACAAAAGTGTTTTTTTTTTTTTGGATTTTATAGTGTGTTATGCAAAAGGACCCAATGAAATTTTAAATTATTATTGAAATACATTTTTTTATGTACCTAATTAATTGTCAACTAGGAAAAGTGGTATTTTTTATGTTATATAATTATTATTATATGAAAGGAAATAAAGATAATAAAAAAAATTTATGTGACTTACATAAAAATAGAGTTCGACTCGATGAGACTCTTTTGGTACACAAGTTAGTGCTTCCGACCTACAACATCCGGTGTCGTCAGAGCACCTGTGTAGAATGGCACAGTGTGGAATGTACGTGGTCGATGTACTGGGGTAGACATCACGAACTGGTACAATTCTGGCACGAGGCAATTGGCAGCTACCCTCTCGCGAGACCTTAATGGCATGTTGAAGCGCTTCATTGACATCGGCGGCTAAAAATAAGAAAAATTCCAAAAAAATTGTTAAAATACAGCTAGAATGAGTGGAATAAAACACGTACCAAAGATAAAAATAGGGATTAATATAGAGTAAATTAACACTTTATTGAATAATTGTAAATTGGCTTTAAATACATGAAAACTTGAGAAAAATAACTTTAGACTGAAATTGACCTGAGGCGAACCGTACAATGTGCATACCGCAGGACCGAATTTGTACGACTAACACCCAAAATGCCGGTAGGTACTGCAAGTACCTGGCTTTTCCCTTTCCCTGAAATTTTCCTTTAACTTATTTCCTAAATCTGAAAATACAAAATTATCGTTGTAATTTCAACAAAAATTATATAAAATTTTCACCTAAATGGTTTTTTTAGGGTTTCGTGGCTCAGGCCCGAAAGCCTTATAGTTTTGCTTTGGCTTCCGTCCGTCGTCCACTAGTACGGTTACCATGATAACAGTTACTATAGCAACCGTTTCCATAGTAAGTTACCATAGCAACCGTTTCCATAGTAACAATTTCCATGACAACCGTTACCATGGCTCATATTTTTTTTTCTACTAAAGAGAAACATCATAAACAATCGAACGGTATAAAAAATATCATTTTCAAAATCAATGATAACTGATGATTTGTTTGTTCGTTAACCCCTTCTGATTTGATAAGGGGAAAAAAATTCAATAAACAAATTTGGCTTTTTGGCAAACCACAAAGCGTTATCGCAAAATAATTTTCTCAAGAGATCAACAAAAAAGATGAATGATGGCGCGATAATACTCAAGTGGAATAATCCAATTAATATAATCAGTATCAAGTATCATTCTATGTATCCGGATTTCAAGAAGTATAAATGAGCCAGAAAGACTTTTTCAAAACACAGCAAAAGTTTCTTCTTAAGAAGTAACACATCCTCTAAGGTAAGAAAAAAAAAATTCTAATTATTTTTTAATCTAATTTTATTTACTAAATTTTTGCTTATAGATTTTTGTACGCAATAAGAAACATGAAGCTTTGCACATTATTATTTTTGTGCGTCGGTGTTCTTGTTGTTACCACCTATGCTGGAGTTGTAGATGAAGTGGAAGAAGAGTCAATTGAGGATTTAAGTACCGAAATTGAATCCGAAGAATCTGAAGAATCTGATTATGATGTAATTTTAGATGAACTCAGTGGAAGATGTCGTCGACGTGGACAAAGAGTGAGTAAAAATAATTGATTTTGATAAAAAAAAAAAGAAAATGTTGAAAATAACAAATTTTCTATCTATATATAGTGTAATCGTGATATGCGTTGTTGTCGTGGAATGATGTGTTCACGACGCACGAGAAGATGTGAAAGACGATCACAAGGACAATGCCGAAGAATGGGACAAAGGGTTTGTCAATATTATTCATTTAAATATAAAATTGAAAATAAATTCTAATTATCGCTTTATTTTCCACCTTGTATATACAGTGTCGACAAGGACAATGCTGCCGTGGAATGAGATGCAATTGCCGTACCAACAGATGCGAACGACGTCGCCGTTGGTGTCGACGAGGTGGTGAAAGGGTATGCGAATATTAATGAAGAAAATTTCTATGTATACATTGCTATCAAAATTTTCTAAACTAATTCTTTTTAGTGCGAGAACAATCGAATGTGCTGCAGAGGAATGATGTGCTCCAGAAGAGACAGACGTTGCCGTCGTAGGAACGAATTGATTCCAGAAGAATTCATGGACGATAAAGTAAATGTTGAAGAACAATTCGAAGATAATGAAAACTAATCTGGATACAATTGGAATTTAAAATGAATTTCGTTATTTTGTGAAACTGATTGAAAAACTAATAAATACTCACAACAGCATTAAAATAAAATTTTGTATACTTGAATTTCCTTTAATTAGAAAATTTTGTTTGATTGTTTCCAAGAGTTTAACGATATGATCTTGATTTTTGTTTCTTATTAATTATTTAAATAACAAGAATTTTATTATTATACATATACAGAGAGGATTTCCTCCCTTTAACTTTCATTAAAGTATCATCAATCAAATGGGCGGTACGTTTTACAATTGTGAATCATGCAAAATCGCAATTAATTTATGGATTCCAGTAAGTGAACGTTTGGCACTCGTCTAAAAATTTATTATACCCATTTCGCAGAAGAATAATAGTTCAAAGCAGGATAAGGTCAAAAAACTTGTAAAGATGATTACACAGTAAGACCGAAGTTATATATAAATAATGATCCCTCATTCCTTGGAGGTCATTAACAAGAATCTCGATTTCTTGATGTATTTCGCTACTGGAATATTCAAGATAAAAAAGAAATTTCAAAGATAAAAAATTTTTTTAAAAATTGGCTGTTGATAAAAATTTCTTGAGACAAAAATTTAATATGCACCTTCTAGCACTTAGAGAAATCAACTGACAGTGGATAATTACGATTACTGTCAATTACGTAATATATTAGTCTGTTGGTTTAATTAATCATATAAAGTGTTTTTCCCCTCGATATGTCATGCGAAAATTGATTAATTTTCGCGTGGGTGAATTCATATTGAACATATATATATATAAAATGGTTACTGTCACTATAATGGGGACGACATATGCGCACCTGTGCATTTAGAATTACTCACGCCTTACATGCGGTATAATAATTTAACATTAATGGTCAAGCTTTTATGGCATAGTCTGTATCTCGTTTATGCTTTGATAAGTAATAATTTATTTCGATTAAAAATTCATTCTTATAAACGATTAAGAAAAATATAATGCAATTCCCTATATTCAATTTTAATGATATGATTTTTTTACGAAAGAAAATTGATAATTTTCCTGTACTTAGTCATTTCTATTACTATTATTTTTAAGACAATTGACAACTCTGAGTGCAAAACGAAATTAGGATATTTTTTTTACTAAATACAACTGATAACTTTGTATAAAATGCGACAAGTAACAACTCTGAGTTGAAAAACGAAATTAGAACCATTTTTTTACAAAAGACAACTGACAACCTTGTATAAAAAGCGACAAGTGACAACTCTGAGTGGAAAAACGAAATTAGAACCATTTTTTTTACAAAAGACAACTGACAACCTTGTATAAAATACGAGAAGTCACCGATAAGGATCGGTGTATGTGGCCAGTAATCGCGATACACTTTTTTTGCCAATTCGGATCTTTGTAATCACAGCAACACTCGCGCGGATGTCATGATTTTTCACGAAAGAATTAATTTCACCTTTTTACATAAACAAAACCTCTTTTTTCTCGCCACTATATAAAAGTGAGAAGGAAAATTTACGAGGGTGAATGAAGTTTGCCACGACGAGTGAATGTAGCAAAGTCGTTTTCGACTTGAAACAGGGTATTATTTTTTGCGGCAAATCTCTCGTTGCCGATCAAGACTATGTTAATTTTTTTTTCGTGTGGGCGTCATTGCTTGAATGCCGAACAAAGATTTTATCTCTATCTTGCATTTACAATAGCAACGGGTCGATTTTACAGTCGAGGTGTTCTTGTTCTCACTGCATTGACCGCGGCCTATCATGAATAGCGTCAACTCTTTATTTTCTTTCATATTGAAATTTGTTTGATGACAAGTTTATCGATTAGTAGAAAAAAAAACAATTAGACAATTGACATACTTTTTACTTTTAAATATGCGGGCTTTTCAACGATATATACAAGAAGGTTATGGAGAAAAAAAATTATCAGATCAAGATGAATTTTTGGTTGTAGTTACAATTATATAAATAACAATTGCTATTTCTACATAACAAGAAAAAAAAATCGTCTCTTTGTCACAAAAGAAAAGAAATCAGGTGTACGAAATGCAAAGACTAAAAAAAAAAGAAGGCAAAGAGATGTGAAAGAAGATATAAAGCGACAGGGTCGAGGTGACACAGCCTACCGCATGCTACCGTATCGAAAGAACATTAAATCGATTTCACATCAGGTCGTAAATTTATGTCAGACAATATACAAAATGTTGAGGAATGTTGAGACAAAAAAGAAAAAAAAATTAGAAAAATTCTACATGTGTTTATATAAAAGTTCAGAAGGTTGATAATGACTTTCTAGGTTCATATTAAGATATGCTTCATTAATTTTACTGAATAACAAGAACGATGGAATAAAATCACTTTAATGTCTTTGTTGTTGATATAGGTTACTCTTATATGGTAATTTTAATATTAATTTCCAGAACAATTAAAAAATAAGAAGCAATTATTATTCACGTTTAATAAAGATATATATATATATTTTTTATGGGATAAGGTGTGATACAAAATGAGATCAAGAGACACATTATGTCAAGAACCATTATCAAGTTTCTGTGATCCAACTGTCATGTTCTGCATAAAAGCGACAAGGGCTTAATTACTCATTTCAACACTATTTACTCGACTGTTTAATCAGTTTATACAATGCAATTGAGATTGAAAAATATTCGGAGAATGTAATATATCCCATAATAGAACTGAATCATTAATTTAAAAATTTTACTGAATTTTAAAAAAGAATTTTCTTTCTACTTACATTTTCCATTATGTTTGAATTCGAGATATTTATCTCTAGTTTCTTTGATACTCTCGCGGGAACCAAGTGATTGCCATTTTTGAACACTGTGAGCAGACATTGGTGGATAATCATTTTTCGCCTGATAGCCATTGTATTGTGCTCCAGTTGATCTTTCATAATTTCTCACGCTCTTTTGGAAAACTCGCTTTTCCGTTGGTTTTTGAGTTGTTGTTGTTGTAGTAGTAGTAGTTGTAGTTGTTGTCGTTGTTGTTGGTAACGTTGTACTTGTTGAACTCGTACTTGTTGTATTTTCATCATCATCTTCATCCTCCGCATAATCCTAGAAACAAAAAATTTCAAATTTTTATTCACCTAATGAATTATAAAATTTTCCTATAATTCTTTGGTAAAAGTTATCCGCAATAAAAATTTTCTAGAAATCAATGTTGAATAAATGTTTCTTTTTGAATGACATTCCGCGTGAAAGTTGACCAGAGATGTATCGATTAAGATTTTATTTCCTTCATCTGTCTCTGGATAAATCAATCAGTATCACTTGTTTTTTTATTTTTTGCTTCCATCTAAATTGTCAATTAGAAATTGCACGAATTTTATAAATATCGTTTCAAAAGTCAATCTTGAAATATATCAAAGAGAGAACATGATTTTTTTTAGAACATGATTCTTAGATTTGAAATTTAATTTCCAAAGAAAGTTATGTAACCCATGTCATGGTTATTTTCTGCATAATATGGTACATGCGAATAATTTAGCAAAAGTTATTTCCACTTGCAGTTTATGTTATAAAAACGAGTATTCGACATTTGCATGAAAATATAATTATATAGTTTTATCGATCATTCTTAATTATACTGTCATGAAGTAATATATATATATATAAAAATTAGTTCAATTCCATAACATCTGTTTTCAGTAAATTCTAATTTAGCATGTTGACGGACAAGCCATAAAGATTTAAAAGCAATTAAATAAGATGTTGATGACAGGGCAAGTTAATAGAATAATTTTGCACAAACAAGTCTTAATATCAAAAAATGTTTTTTCTTTTACCAAAAATTTACCCCCGAAAAGAATAAATGAATCACGATGAATATAAATTTTATATGAATGAATATAATAAAAATGTTGGCGAACAGTTAAAACATTTCTCTAGCAAGAAATGCAAACCAAAGTGCATATGTGCGCGAGTCTTTGATATTGAGCCGCTGTAATGGAAACAATCTTCGTTTGACGTCTGACTAGATCACTAACGTGCCGATGAAAGGAAGATTTCTGCCAAGTTTACACTTGACATTTATCGTATCTCTTTTTTTCCCCTTTAAGTCGAAAGTACCATATGTTAGCACCTACAAAATTGCACACACACACACACATAGAGAATGGTTGAGAGAAAATTGGAAAATAAACTCTCTAATCTTGTGGAATTTCACTGAGACATCAATCTGTCATTATAATTCAGATATATTTTTTATGCGATCTGATTTTCTCATTCTTTAATAGAATTTATTAAATTAATTTTGAAAATTCATTTTTTTTAATGAAAAATTTGCACGATCTACTTTCATAATATTAGTTTCGCGTGTGTGCTTTCATTAATTTATGATTTAGCAGGCGTGAAAACGAGACAGTTTTACAACGTGGGTACTTACCTACCGTGTCTCAAACGTTTACACCGACGAAGATAACGGAAGAGATTTACGGTAAGGTACATAAAGAATCTTTCTATAAACGGTGCGCTCTCTTCGTCATAGTTATTTTTTCTCCCATCATTTTATAATCCGATTTCAAATATATTTTATAAAAGTTAAAAAAAAAGAAATTTATAGAAACAGATTTAAAGAAAAAAATTTCATCTCATATAAGAGGATTAAGAATAAAATTCATCTGGGGAAATTGGTAAAGAATTTTAATCTCGTTGAATTTTTTTAAGGTATTTTTTTTTACTTATTAAACATTTTTGTTTTTACTTTTTATTTTAATGAACCCTAAGGTATATAAAATCATCTGATTAGATAAGAATGAATGCTTTATGAAGATAAAAATATGAAAAAATGTTGAATATTCTATATCAACAACTCAATTAAAATCACTTATATTGAAAACAATTTATCACCTTGTGAATAATTGGTTATATTGTCAAAGTTGTAGAAAAACGAGAGATTTAATAGAATGGTGCGATTACTTTTAACTGCCTATTCATAGATTTATCTGATCACCTATCAATGGAAGTAAATTTGTTTCAACGAAACCGATTATAAAAAAAGACATTTTTAATTAAGAGAATAAGAATTTAGAATTAGAATAAAAAAATGGTATTTCTTTAGAATTTTTTTTACGAACTAAAAGCCAGGCTAAATAAAACTTTATAGCAAACTCTTGGCCCATCTAGTTTTTACGATTCTGATAATTCTAGGGTCTGCGAAAGATCATATTAACTAGACTTTTTTGCGGGATATAATTGTGGTAATAAAAAAGTCTCTTTTTTATCTAATCATTCTTTTTTATTAGAATAATGTGAGTGGAACAATATATTTTTTTGACTAACAACAAACGGAATACAAATTTTAAGCGGTGACCTTCAGTAATTCTTTAGATATAAATAAATAAAATAAAAAGAGGTTTGCTTTTCAAAGTGTATTGACTATGTTATACAATATGAAGGTTCTTCGATTTTTGGGTGGTCTGGTTTGAGTATATTCAGTTTAATAACAGGAGGTACCCTGGATGAGCACTAATGCTCTTTAATGCTCACAAGCCGACCGTTCCAGCCGAAAGCAGTTAAGGGCGCGTAAAGTTTTTTACCCTTTGCTCTGCTACGTGTGCTTCTTGAACTCGAGGCTATTCGCGTCTCGCTCTCTGAACCAATTTCGTAGGTAACTTTATTCTTGAATTGAAAAACTTTCACCTTCATTCTTGGTTTACAACCTAATAGTTTGCCTTTTTTAAAAAAAAAAAATAATGACCACCACCATTTCTAATAACGAATTATAAATTATTTGATCATCAAATTAAAAAAAGCAAAGGAATACGTTTAACACTCGGGAAAATAATTTACTGTTTATTTCTCCCTGCTCAGGTATATAATTCCCTTTCAAGGATTTTAGCATTTTTAATTTATTCCGCCGAGGCATTTGCAGAAAACTGCATCTTAAGGGAGTAGTCGACGACTTTTATGATCGGCAATAAATCGAAAACGGCAAAAGAAAGCGTTATTTTATATTTCTCTAAATGCGGTTATAATAAATATAGAATTCCAATGAATCCTAATTCCATGAATTCAAATAAAAAAAAATACTTTCATTTTAAAACGTCAATATAATTAGCTTGTTGTAAAGTCTAGACCTTACAATGTAAATGAATCGTGAATCATAATTTTTGTACATAGAAAAAATCTTCACCTATAACAACGATTAAAAATATTCTATTCTAGTAAAAAAATTTTACGATTTTCAAATTCAGACTGATGAATTTGGAATAAATTCGAAATTATACAAAAATATGAGTTAGAAATTTAGTCGAGTTCATTGAATTAAAAATTCATGATGCTCGCGGACAATGAAGGGAGGAGATGCTTCTCTCGAGGCAAAAATGATCACATCCCGGAAAGATGCAGTTCACGCAGGCCACCCACCGCGAACAATAAAAGTTCATATTCCCGTTTTGCCCATGTACCAACTATTAATTTTCCATTTTTTTTTTTTTTAATTTTCATTTATCACACTAAAATCATTCTAAATATCTCTTATCAATTTAAGATAAGAAAAGAACAGAAAAAAAAATTATCGCACAACGATAATAATCGCTGAGCTTTGTTGACTTTACAATAATTAATGAATCATTAAGATTTACTCTATTTTACAGAAGTCAAAAGTAGCAAATATTTTGAGAATAAACAAAACGATTTTTAAAATCATTTTTATGAGAATAGTGGCGATCGATCTTATAAACACCGCGAAGAAGTGAGTATAAAAAAGAAAAAAAAACATAGAAGGTGAAAGCCCATGAATTATGAAAGAATTTTTAAATACCTTTCTGTTTTTTTAAAGGGCGCGTGGATCTGTAAAATAGATCACAAGTTTTTTTTTTTTTAATAAACTTTCTTACTTTCTTCGCATCCCTCTATTTTTATAAACTATTTTCAAAATCCAAAGTGGCCTCATTATATACTTTAAAAATGTTTAGATTGCGGTTAAAGTGATAAAAGTGGCTTTAAAATAGAATGGTGATTCGAAATAATAATAATATCCAAGGTGAAATCAAAATTAGAGGAATAATAAAATTTTCAAAAATAGATCAATACAGTGGAAAAAATATTGATTAAAGAAAACCCATTTACTTGTTCGTATTTGATTCAATATTTTCTTGATCGAAGAAAATTTTAAGTAAATTTTTTTGAATTAAAATTAGTGGATCAAATACGGACAAGTATTTTCTTAAATTAATAATACTTTTTTAGGGTTTCGTGGCCCAGACTCGAAAGCCTTATGGTAACAGTTACCATAGACACCGTTACCAGTAATTTTCGAGGTAAATTAAAGAAAATTTACAATCACGAAATGGCAAATGAACACGTTTAAACAGGTAGAATCCCGAATGATAATTCGATATAAATTTCATGCATCATCTATGATTTTAGGTTTAAAATTTGATGTTAACGGTGTTTAAAAACATAATAATGAATGAGAATGGTATGTGATGACCATAACTAACAACAATTGACATTAGCACACTTTATGGTTTTATACCCGCACGTCTCGGAAGCGCTCGCGCCAACCAACTATATACTTCGTTCGTGCGTGACGATTGACTATATGAGAAGTCAAGTTGAAAAGCGTGAGGCATTATTCATTTTAAGAAATCTTCAACGGAAGCCACAAACGATGACATTCTCATAAACATTATTTTCAAACTTTTGAAAAAAACCTAACCGAAAGAATCATTTTTTAGAATTATTTCTCCTTAACAGTATATCAACTCATTAGCAATTGATCTGTTTTACGACAGTTTGCTTCAGAAAAATAATTTATTTTATGATCAAAAATATTTGTAACGCAATTTTTTTAATACTTAATTTTCAAGGTTTAATATATACATTGATAAAATATCTCATTTTAATATATATAAATATTTATATAAATTTTATTACGGATACAATTTTGGTCTAATAAAAAATAAAATTAAAAATTAATATACACATGTAAAAATGTAAATTTATTATTTTAGAGAGGGTAATAATAATTTTCATATTAGTGTCTTGGAATTATTTCACATAATTTGGCTTCTGAATTTAAATAATTTTGAAATTTAGCCAAAGGACGT